CTATAACTTTGCTTTAATGAAACTGCCGTCTGCTCTCCGGCCTCCCCTTGAGCTCTATATTGCTGCCCCACAGCCCTACCCCTGTGCCTGTGTTCCTCCACAACCCTGGGGAGAAAGGGGGGTGAAGCGCTTCCCAGCACTCAGCTGCCCCAGAGACCCCAGTGCCCCCAGCTGCTCAGAGCCCAGACCCTGGATGCTGAGAAGTCAGAAAATGGCCCTGGAGCATCTCTCCCACCGCACTGGCCGCGGGCCCACCCCCAATTTGTTCGGTGTTTCGTGTCCATACTCTTGCAGTTCTGTCCTTGGACTTGAGGCCTCTGAACTCTGAGGTGGGACTGGGCCAGTCAGAGACTGGTGTCCTGGGAGGGCGAGGGAGGGGCAAGAGGGAACATGGGAACACTTGGGGAAACTCTCGGAACATGCCCCTTGCCAGGCTGTGCAATTCAGAGCCTCCCCACCCACCCCTGCTTCGTGTACTGCCCTACAGCACAATCAGAGTTAATATAAGCAGTGTGAGAGCTTCTCTGGCCAGGGTTCTTCAAATAGTCATTGGAGAGAGTGTTTCCTGGGCCTTGAGGGGACCAGAGGTCAAGTCTTTAAAATGGTGAGACTCCCCTTCTCAGCTGATGAATCTCCAGGGGCCTGGATCCACACAAGGAACAATGGTCCTGTCTTTAGTAAGACTCCACGGGCAAGAGAGAGTGTATCTACCCATCACCCCACCTACTCACCACCTGAAAAGAAATGTTAGGGCCCTTACTCCAACAAATCCATTCTGTCCTTTTGTTCCTGCAGAGCCACAGGAAGAAGCCCAGAGCTCAGGGTATGCTCTGGGAACGCACGCTTCTTTGCCCTTCTTTGATTCGGTTTTCCCAGATAATGAAAGCAGGTGATGGCTCTGGTTGCACTGGCAATAACACCTACAGCAGGCTCCTCTCCTTGTGGTCGGGTTCAAGCCAGAGGGCGTGCAGACACAGGACCCCTGCCATGTTCAGCTCAGAGGCAACGTGGCCATACTGGGCTTTGAAGGGGTCATTCTAGGCCTGTCTCTCAGCAATATTCTGCAAGGGAAGCTGCTTCCGTTAGGGGTTCGGGGCAGGAGGCCCTCTTCAAAGAGTCTATGTCACCAAACACTCTGCGATTCCAATACTGTAAGAATGGCCTTGTTTGAATGGAAGGCTGGAGATTGCGATGGCAGACCAGGTCAGGTGGAGAGGTACGGGCAAGTTAGAGTGCTGGTTCAGGAGCAGGATCCAAATGGAACTTTGGAAAACCCAGTGTCCCTACAGGGGGAGGTTCCTCTTAGGTTAGACCCTCTTTCTCCAACCTTCCCCGGTAATCCTTACCCATCATGAGAACCTTCATCTCAAAAGTCTGTGCTTCCTTCCATGCACTGATTCCTTGGATGGCCCCAACCACAGGTTCTCTATATGACTCTCATAGCACCTCCATCCAGAGGAGTGTTCTGCTTCTTCCATATTTCCTATTGCTTCAAAATTCTCCAGTTCCCTAGATAAGTTCTTTTGCAGCCCCCAAGCCCAAGAGGGTGGAAACTGAGAAGAAATGTCGGTGTACATCCCAGTCCCCATCCTGCTCCTAGTACCATTCTGGCCGCACACAGAGGCCAGGATGTTGGCCCCCGCGTGTTCGAGGTTAACCTTGACAAGCCTTCTCCTTTCCCGGACATGTTTTGCCCCTGCCAACAAGAAACAAAGATCTAAAACCAGATGCAAATGTCATGGTATATAAAAAGAAGATGACTCAAGATTAGTTTGTTAATCCTTCCAGCCTTCCTCAACCTGGGTGGCAAATCTACCTGCTAAACCGCACCACACCCACCCTGCCCCTGACCCCTTGCCCCTGTCACACACCCAATCCACAGTTCTCAGAATAAGGTGGAGATACCCATTCTGTCCTGGAACCCCAGGTTAGGACAATAACCGGAAGAAAAAGTGAGAAACCTATTCTCCCATAGAACAGGAAGAGCTCTCTCGCTCTTGATCATCAGGTACTCCAGGGTAAGAACATGGACAATCATTGGCAGACAAACAGGGAGCACAGGGGCTGCGTGGTCAAGACTCAGCCATGCAGGGCCCAACCCCACAAGCTCTCTCCAGTGCACAAGTACAGCAAAGAATTGCTGAAGGGCTAGGAGGTCACAAGTCAGGCCTTGGTGAAAGAGAAGAACACAGAAGCCTGGAGCTTCTGGAAAGCTGGGGCCTTGAGAAGGAGCCGAGGCTGCACTCCGTACACCCCTCCGTTGTCCCCAGCCCCCTTTACTTCCTGCTGAAGAGTGAGGCTGCAAGAAACTGGTAAAGGGAGGGCTTAAAAAAAAAAAGTTTTCAGGCAGAGGGAAGCCCTGAACTCTCCTGTGGGGGATTTCAAATGAACCGAAATGAGTGCTTTACATTTGTAATCATACTTAACCCTGAGAATTCTACACAGGATCATCATTTTACAGACGGGAGAATGAGGCTTCAAGAAGCCAAAAGATTTGCCCAAGGTCACAGGGCTAACAAGCGGCAAAGGTGACATTTAGACACACGTGATTTCCACTACAAAATGTTTCCATCCGAAGCGCAAACTCAAGGCCACTGTCATCCCAGAATATGATGAAAATGGCCGACGCTAAAGGCCACCTGCTCATTCCTGCTGTGGGAAGGCTAAGCAAGGACGGACCACAGCTCCGTTAGGAAGGTGGGGGGCGGGGAGGGGGACCGGCATCCTCCACCTCAAGTCCCCAGGCAACCTGGAAAGACCTCAACTCCTGGGAAACAAAGCTATGCTGTGTATCCAGTCACCCCCACCCCCACCCCACCCCACCCCTACCAAGGCCAGTATCCAGTTTTCTGATAGCTTTAAAATTCATTATTGGCTCCGAGTCCCTGGATGGGAGCCCGGTTTCTAATTCTCAGGCTCGCTATCAGTCTGGAAAGCCCGGGGTCATTTCCAGTACTTCTTCAACTTTCATGGAACAGGAAGCACCCTCACGTGGTGAGCTAGAATACCACAGCAAATCCGTTTCTGATGACGCTGATTGTAGCAAGTGCTCTTAAGTAATAGGCCTCGAAGCTGCCTTTGCGCTTCCGGAGTGGAGAGGACCCAGGGAAAAGAAAACAAACATGATGCAGTGCTTGGGAAGCTTCTCAGACCTGGAGAAAAGGAGCCAACAGGAATTCATTCCGTCTCTCACTGCCTGCACTGGAGGCGTACAGGCGACGCAGGGCGTTTGCTATTATGGAATCAGAGTAGAAATCACAAGGTACACACCCCAAGTTCCGTTAGCTCTGCCCAGGTATCGTATGTGCAGTTTAGGAGGGCACCAGACAAAAAGACCAAGGGGAGTCCTGCCATTGGTTTATGCTTTAGGAAGCTTCTCCACACGATAAACTTTATTAAAATTGAAGTATACGTATTGAAATAGAAACTGTATTTCCGCATAGATTTTTATTTAAAAGACCGCTTGGTGTGCCTATTTAAAGAAACATTTTAGACGTAGCCCAATGGCATCTCAGCTAAATCTTACATCTTACTTCCCTTTTACAAAAGTCTGTGAAAAGCCTCTTATCGAAGTTGT